TAACCCCGTTATTGACCCCATAACCCCGTTATTGACCCCATAACCCCGTTTATTGACCCCATAGCCCCGTTATTGACCCCATAGCCCCGTTATTGACCCCATAGCCCCGTTATTGACCCCCATAGCCCCTATACCGTTCTCGGCTCTATAAGCCCGTTATGGGACCCCTATAGGCTCTATACCGTACCCGGCCCCATAACCCCATTCGACTTCCCTTCAGGACCTGTAATCCCCCATTAGAGCCCACCCAGACCCCATAACCGCCATTAGGGATCCCCCACACCCCATAACCCCATTGGGGATACCCCGGACCTTGTAACCCCCGGACCCCGTAACCCCCACTGGAGCCCTCCCAGACCCCATAGCCCCCCCCAGATCCTAAACCCTCTTTCTGGGGCAGTTCTAGGGTCTGTGGGGTGGTTACAGGGTGTGTGGGGTGGTTACAGGGTCTGTGGGGTGGTTGTAGGGTCTGTGGGGTGGTTACAGGGTCTGTGGGGTGGTTACAGGGTGTGTGGGGTGGTTACAGGGTCTGTGGGGTGGTTACAGGGTCTGTGGGGTGGTTACAGGGTCTGTGGGGTGGTTACAGGGTCTGTGGGGTGGTTACAGGGTCTGTGGGGTGGTTACAGGGTCTGTGGGGTGGTTACAGGGTCTGTGGGGTGGTTACAGGGTCTGTGGGGTGGTTACAGGGTCTGTGGGGTGGTTACAGGGTCTGTGGGGTGGTTACAGGGTCTGTGGGGTGGTTACAGGGTCTGTGGGGTGGTTACAGGGTCTGTGGGGTGGTTACAGGGTCTGTGGGGTGGTTACAGGGTCTGTGGGGTGGTTACAGGGTCTGTGGGGTGGTTACAGGGTCTGTGGGGTGGTTACAGGGTCTGTGGGGTGGTTACAGGGTCTGTGGGGTGGTTACAGGGTCTGTGGGGTGGTTACAGGGTCTGTGGGGTGGTTACAGGGTCTGTGGGGTGGTTACAGGGTCTGTGGGGTGGTTACAGGGTCTGTGGGGTGGTTACAGGGTCTGTGGGGTGGTTACAGGGTCTGTGGGGTGGTTACAGGGTGTGTGGGGTGGTTACAGGGTCTGTGGGGTGGTTACAGGGTCTGTGGGGTGGTTACAGGGTCTGTGGGGTGGTTACAGGGTCTGTGGGGTGGTTACAGGGTCTGTGGGGTGGTTACAGGGTCTGTGGGGTGGTTACAGGGTCTGTGGGGTGGTTACAGGGTCTGTGGGGTGGTTACAGGGTCTGTGGGGTGGTTACAGGGTCTGTGGGGTGGTTACAGGGTCTGTGGGGTGGTTACAGGGTCTGTGGGGTGGTTACAGGGTCTGTGGGGTGGTTACAGGGTCTGTGGGGTGGTTACAGGGTCTGTGGGGTGGTTACAGGGTCTGTGGGGTGGTTACAGGGTCTGTGGGGTCTGTGGGGCCGTTCTGGGGTCTCTGGGCTGTGGGGTCACAGGGGCTGCAGGGGCGGCACCACCTCAGATCCCTGGGCTGCCCCATCCCGAGCTCTGTTCCCACGGGAAATTCCCTGGAGCATTCCCACCCCCATTCCCATTGGGAATTCCCATTGGGAATTGTGTCCCGCAGGGCTCGGTGGTGGTGGAGCGCGTGTGGCCGGTGCCAGATCCCCAATCCCATCCCCATTCCCATTGGGAATTCCCTGGAATTCTCTCCCGCAGGGCTCGGTGGTGGTGGAGCGCGTGTGGCCGGTGCCAGATCCCCATTCCCAATTCCCATTCCCAATTCCCATTCCCAATTCCCAATTCCCATTCCCATTGGGATTTCTCTCCCGCAGGGCTCGGTGGTGGTGGAGCGCGTGTGGCCGGTGCCGCTGGCCCGGCTGGGAGCGGCTCCCCGGTTACACCCGCGCCGGCACCGCGTGTTCCGCCTGTTGAGGGACGGGAAGCACCTGCCCCGTTCCCACATGGAGCTGCTCCTGACCCGCTCCGTGCAGGGTGAGCGATCCCGGGAATCCCGGGAATCCCGGGAATCCCCACATTCCCAGCCCTTCCCCTCCTGGTTTTATCCCGTTTTTTCCCTTTCGGTTTTTCCTTTCCCCCCCCACGGAGCTGATTCCAGGAATTCCGCATTCCCTGGAATTCTGGCAGTGAGCCCTTCCCCGGAATCCTGGGAATTCCCGCGTTCCCAACCTTTTCCCAGCCTTTTCCTTCTCGTTTTGTCCCAGTTTTAACTCATCCCTATGGGAATGAGGCAGAATTCCCTCGTTATTCCATTCCCGGTGGCCCAGGGATTCATCCCTTGGTCATGGGAGGATTTGGGATTCCAGAATCCAGGGAAATTTCCCTTCCTGTGGCACCGGGAATATGATTTATTCCCTTTTTTTCCCGATTTCTCCTATTTTTCCTTTATCCATATAGGAAAAAAAGCGGAATTCCCGCATTATCCCATTCCCCTTTCTTCCCATTCCCAGTGATCCGCTGGCACAGGGATGATTTGTGTCCCAAATCCATGGAAATTCCCCTTCCCAACTCAGGAGAGTCCAATCCATTCCTTCCCATTTTATCCCTGGAATTTCTGTTGAATTTCATGGAATTTTATTAATTTCACTGAATTTAATGTATTTTTCTATGAAATTAGTGGAATTTGCATTTAATTTTGTGGAATTTTTGTTTAATTTAATGGAATTTCCATTTAATTTTGTGGAATTTCTTTAATTTTACATAATTTTCACAGAATTTGATGTATTTTTTTATGAGATCCATGCAATTTGCATTTAATTTAATTGAATTTCCGTTTAATCTCATGGAATTTCTGCTTAATTTCATGGAATTTCTGCTTAATCTCATGGAATTTCTGCTGAATTTCATGGAATTTCTGTTTAATCTCATGGAATTTCTGTTTAATTTCATGGAATTTCTGCTGAATTTCATGGAATTTCTGTTTAATCTCATGGAATTTCTGTTTAATTTCATGGAATTTCTGCTTAATTTCATGGAATTTCTGTTTAATCTCATGGAATTTCTGTTTAATTTCATGGAATTTCTGTTTAATTTCATGGAATTTCTGTTTAATCTCATGGAATTTCTGTTTAATTTCATGGAATTTCTGCTTAATTTCATGGAATTTCTGTTTAATCTCATGGAATTTCTGTTTAATTTCATGGAATTTCTGTTTAATTTCATGGAATTTCTGTTTAATCTCATGGAATTTCTGTTTAATCTCATGGAATTTCTGCTTAATTTCATGGAATTTTTATTTAATTTTATGGAATTTCTGCTTAATTTCATGGAATTTTTATTTAATCTCGTGGAATTTCCATTTAATCTCATGGAATTTCTGTTGAATTTCATGGAATTTTTGTTTAATCTCCTGGAATTTTTGCGTAATCTCATGGAATTTCCATTTGATTCCATGGAATTTCCGTTTAATTTCATGGAATTTCCATTTAATTTCGTGGAATTTCCGTTTAATTTCGTGGAATTTCCATTTAATCTTGTGGAATTTCTGTTGAATTTTATATAATTTCCGTTTAATTTCATGGAATTTCTGTTCAATTTCATGGAATTTCAATGAAATTTGTTGAATTTCCGTTTAGTTTTGTGGAATTTCCGTTTAATTCCGTGGAATTTCTGTTCAATTTCATGGAATTTCTGTTTAATTTAATGGAGTTTCCGTTGAATTTCATGGAATTTTTGTTTAATCTCCTGGAATTTCCGTTGAATCTCACGGAATTTCCATTTAATTTCACTGAATTTTTATTTAATCTCGTGGAATTTCTGTTGAATTTCATGGAATTTCCATTTAATTTCGTGGAATTTCTGTTGAATCTCGTGGAATTTCCGTTGAATTTTATATAATTTCCGTTGAATTTCACGGAATTTTTATTTAATTCCGTGGAATTTCTGTTGAATTTCATGGAATTTCCATTTAATTTCGTGGAATTTCCATTTAATTTCGTGGAATTTCCGTTGAATCTCGTGGAATTTCCGTTGAATTTTATATAATTTCCGTTGAATTTCATGGAATTTCCGTTGAATTTCATGGAATTTCTGTTTAATCTCCTGGAATTTCCGTTGAATCTCAGGGAGTTTCCGTTTAATTTCATGGAATTTCCATTTAATTTCACGGAATTTTTATTTAATCCCCTGGAATTCCCCTGGAGCTCCGTGATCGTGCCCCCTTTGGGACTCTCCCCCCGTTCCAGTCCCGTGTTTCCCACATTCCCAGCAGGATGTTCCCGTGTTCCCACATTCCCAGCAGGATGTTCCCACATTCCCAGCAGGATGTTCCCACGTTCCCAGCAGGATGTTCCCGTGTTCCCACATTCCCAGCAGGATGTTCCCGTGTTCCCACATTCCCAGCAGGATGTTCCCACATTCCCAGCAGGATGTTCCCGTGTTTCCCACATTCCCAGCAGGATGTTCCCACATTCCCAGCAGGATGTTCCCACATTCCCAGCAGGATGTTCCCG